ACTGGCGAGTTTGCGTGACACAGTTTGAATGTCGCTATGTTAACAATGGGTAACGGTGTCCATATTTATATATATATATCCATAAGATTCATTTTAGATGAGGAAACGAGCTTTTAATATTTGTATAAAATCTAAACCTGAACTCGTCTTGTGACCCCATATTCCTTTCAGCTGTCACTCGTGACTATCACGCCTCGAATGGTTTATGTTCCCTGATGTCACGCACGTCTCCTGCTTATCTCAATAACAAAATGGTCACATGTTTGTTTAACAAAGGCATTTTATTTCGACCTCCACTTTAGGGAGCAAAATAGATTCGAATAAAAAAAATCCTGTTGATTGTGATGACTAAAGGTACGAAACGAGTTGACGTTCTGTACGGGAAATTCACACAATTATGGACGAAATACACCGCGATGATCGCATGCAAAGATTCCACGAACCCAGTTCGAGTTCCTCGAAAGCCGCGTGCGATGAGGTTTAAGGAGTGGCTAACACGCAGTCTTTTTAAGCGAGGTTTTCCATTCATCCCTTTCTGCTGTAAAGGAATACTTACGGATTTTCAAAACACATTTAGTTTGAAATATTTGAAGTACTGTCAGCGTACTTGGTGCGAATAAAATGTATCAGTTCGTATCTATATTTTCGTTTCAACGACTCTCGACTCTCTCCATTTCAATTCCACCAGACCCTATGATGAAATAGGGTGCAATTACGGATAATTATGTATTTTTTGCTATCAAAAGGCAATATACACATAAGCAATGAAAGAAACATGAATTAATACCGCTTCTTCAACTGCTAAGTGTAAAAAAATAAACACCCATACAATCTGAACTTAACATGTTATAATTTATTCCGCAGATAACACTTATCAATTACATGTATTTCTCATCTTTTGGCGGAATCATTAATTACAATTTCTTTCGTAAAGTTAAAATAGACCACCACAGATTTAAATAGCTATTTTTGGTAGCAACACGACAAAATTTCCGTGGAATTTGATAACATTTAACTGAATTGAATTTATCAACAACTGGACAACTGTAGCATGTCAGGGTTCCAAAATATAGTCAATGTACACAATTCATACATCTAAATCAATCTGACTGGCTACTTATTCATCAAAAGTATCCAAAGACTTTACAATTTCTTTACCATAATACATTACTCAATATGCTACTGAGCTTTGTGAACGCCACAACCACTCTAAACTGACAAATATTCAAAATATATTATATTCAGCGGTTTATGACCGATAGAATAAATGGAAAGCAAGGTTTCGTAAAAGATGAAGATCATTCAATTATATTAAAAACTTCTGAGAAACAGCTCTACCTTTGCCTCGATATACTTTAAGCGAGACTCGTTGCGCGACGAAGGGTCTAGTAAAGTTCAATGTCACTAACATAACTAACGTTCGCTGCGTAAATCCTTGAGCGTGGGTTCTTGGACTTTGCGAAATTCTAATTACAGTCAGCTAAGTTACTTTCGTGATCATGTCATCCACAATATAAGTGCATGGAATGGAAATGTGTTCATGAATGTGGCCTCAAAGCCATTATTACCGATAATCACGAAGACAAGTGCCGCTTACGGCTCGAAAGCAATGCGTGGAGTTGTTCATATTTCTTCTTAAACATATCTCTGTCTCTCAAAGTATTGTAAAGGTTTTCCTTCGCTTCTTTCAACTCCAATTTCAATCGCTTGTTTTGCTGTTCGAGGCTTTCTTTCAGTGCCGTGCGCCTTTGTCGACAGAGTGTAGCATAGCCACGATTCTTCAGGCTTCTCCTCCGTTTTCTAATTTGCTTCGCCTCCGCTTTTGGCAAATTCTTCAACTGCTGGTTCAGAAGTCTTATAGAGATACTAATCAATTCGTCGTCGGTAAAGGGTTGGTTTTTGCCAACTTGCAAATCCAGTGGGCTCTGAGGCTCGCTACTGGCGATTGATTCGGTCTCGAAGTTGTCCAAATCTAGTCTTGTTTGCAACAAAACATTCTCGAAGTTATCTTCGCCAACCAGATCTCCCAGTCTATGGTTGTGTGACCAATCTGGACCGCAAACATCGCTCGAGAAATCCCTCTCCAAAATTTCGTCCATCGGGGACATTTCTGGGAAAAACTCGCTGTAATCCATGTTAGCAAAATGGGAATCTAACCAAAAATGAGACACATGATGGTACGATTTCTCATCAAAACTCAGCTCCATACGGGGTTGCTTGATTTTCGTCCAATCATATTGCGTGATTTGACTACATCTCACCTGCCTGTCAATCATGAAAACGGGGAATCCCCTAACAGTTTCTAAGCTTCTCAGCTGAAATGTCCAAGCACGTATTAGCTTTTGCAAGGTAAAATAGATCTTGGAACCTTTAAAAATTGTTTCTTGTCCCCTGAAAACGTCCGAAAAACATTCCCTCACCGGAAAAAACAAAACTTTTGCGATTTTTTTTTCAGATCTAAAAAAAATATCATTACGTCATATGTAATATTCTTACAATTCTTTGGTTTTCGTTCGGTTTTCAACCTGAATAAAATTTTCGTGGGCAATTAAGAATTTCTTTCTCGAAGAACAGTTCTAATGTTTCAGAAAACGTCGCGCAGAATGCGTGTTTCGTATTTCACTGGCCACAGCTGTTTGTTTATCGTACAGGTTCCACCTTAAAAGAGAAGGGAAAGTCCCTTGCCCTCTGAGGGTCAAAACAATGAAAAGCAGGTATGAAAAATATGCAGCGAACTCATCCTATCGAAATTGTGAAATCGGTAAACTGTAACATGTGAAGTATAAAGAAATTGATTTCTTCGCGTGGAAAATCTTTTAGGAAAAGGAGAAAATTGATTTTTACATCAAAGATCCCAGAGGGCGGTTGATCAGAGACTTTTAAGTGTCACGCATTCCAAAAAGGGAAAAACCCCTTCGGAAATGAAACAAAACCGCCGACTTAATGTCAGATGCAAATTTTCACTTTCGAAACTGAAAGTAAATTTCCCTGATTCCATTGCCCGTAATATTTATTTCTATTTTGGCGATTTGGCCTATAAACATTGTGCTTTTGATCATTTAGTTCAAAACCATATTTATATTGCCAAATCTTAGCCACCATTTTCGCTCTATCGAGACTTTCATTTCAATTGCCTTGAGTAGGGAAATTTCCCTTAACCTCTGGGGGTCAACATAATCTGAATTGCGACATGCACTGATGTTGCTATAAAATTTCGATCGTCACTGCTGTGAATTCTTATTTTTCAATTTTATTTAAATATATTTTAAAACATGGAGAGAAGGACCGGGGAAGGAGAGAAAGTAATTACTACTTTCTCCTTTCAATGTTCATCACTTTATATTAAAAACATGTCGGGCGAAGAAAAGATCGATTTATTTAGGGGTCAATATTTATCTGCTGTCTTGTGTTTTCATCTTACTATGATCCAAAAATTATGCAGAAGTTGCATACTGTCTCGTTATGAAGGAAAGAACAGGATCTTAGCTGAAAAATAAAAATCTCCGTTACTCAGGCAGCAAAAAATAGACATAAAACTCTTGAATGATATATAAGTTTACAATCGCTATTACAGCTATGAGTATTTTACATTACGACGTGACGTCTTTGGTCAGTATATTGGTATTAGATCGGCAAGGAAGAAACAAGATAAATCACTGTATTAAAAGTTGACTTCTGGGGATCAAAATCGACTCGTTAAGCGAATATTGGAAGCATGTTTAATGCTCAGCTAATCTATTATGCATGCGCAAAGAACGAAAACATTCAGAAAGGGAAACTCCCTGCTGTTGTTTCCACAAGTAGAGGTCATTAATAGATCGAAATTAGTTTCGATTCTGGGACAAGCAGAGAGTTATTAAAACGGAGATGGGAAAAGAAAAATAATATATTGAAAAACGCAACATTTAGTTACTAGTGCAAGCCGGGTAAACACAAGTCAATCGAAGCTTCTCTTTCGTGAGGGTTTAGCCCTTCATCAGCGCCAAATACGATCATAGATGATAAACTCTATCGAGCTTTATTATTAGGTAGCATGAAGTGTATTGCATCACCAAAGAATCATAAAATATATTAGGAAAAAAGGCTCTCAGATGCGTTCGTGCTGCATTCATTTCGATCTCTCTTTGTAAAAAATAAATACATCTACCGACTGAAACAAAACCGAAAACAGACGCTATCATTGGCCGAACTGATTAACTTGGATGAAAGCATGGGATTTCCCTAGTATCGTTTGTGTTTGAGAGGTACTTTCCCGCTCTGGGCGTCTTTAATGAAACCAAACCTTTGCCCTCTGTTGCATTGCTTTTATACTGAATAGCATATAGTCTGTCGATCGCAAATTTGTCATGGAGAAGAAGGAGTCTTACCTTGATTCATTTGGAGAGCGCGAATTTACTTCGAATAACACGCAGGGTCGACGAGCGCTTTCTGATGGTGTTTGTTATACACGTATGGTTGAAGGACTCCTGCAGATCACGCCAGAAACTATCGTGAGTCAAGGACGCCTTACAGAATCGGGTAATCTTCACCAACAATTAAATCACAATCGCTCTCTTTTGCTCAAAATAAATAAGAAGCTTTTCGACGACGAATACCTCGAAAGGACGTCGATTCAAGAGTTGAACAAGAAACTTCGTCGGCTGCCTGAAGGGCTGATTCGGAAATTCAGAAAAAGGAGACGAATTCTCAAGAATCGTAAATATGCTCTAAAGTGCCGACAGAAAGGAATAGAGCGACAGAGCTACATCGCACATGAAAATGCAGCCCTTGAGCGAGAAATTCTCCAAGCAAATATGGAATTGAGAAAAGTTATCCAGGAAAGGGACAAATATCGACAGAAATACGAACGATTGATAGGTGCTGTTTCTACTTTGAATACATCAAGAGAGTTTTCTATGGTGGACTATGGCAGAATTGTAACGGAGCCTTGACTGAAAAAGGAACTTAAAACTTGCCAAATAATAATTTCCATCGCTCTACTCTTATATATCATTTGATTTTTGTTGTCAATTTCTGTTATCCTTGGAACACTCTGGCTCCGAGACTCTTTCAATGCTTTCAAAAGCGAAAGATATTACGGGATTCCCCCCCTACGTCATCTTCATTGGGCAGAGCTCTAAATCATTTCTGTCATTATTTCAAAACTTGATTGACAGCCGGAGAAAGTCACGTGAGGCAATATCGCAGCATCGTAACTTTCGTATCCACGGCCATGTGCTCTCGGTACGTTCAGTAATAGACTGACAGCGGACAAAACATGACCGATGAAGAACTTTATGTCGATTTTCCCAAAATGGACGACACTTTTGATGCTGGGTTGGCTGAAGATAAACCCAGTTCTTATTGGGTCGGCTTTGAACCGCTCGTTGCCGAGGAAGAAAGCTCTCTAACGCAGACGCACCTATATTCTGTGCGCCCAGATTGTAACACAACCAGCTCTACGCCTAGTGAGCAGATCACCGACTTGGAAATCGCAACACTCCCTATACGCGAACTTAACAAACGCATGAAGAACCTTCCCCAAGCAGAGGTATTGCAAATCAGAAAACGCAGGAGAAGCTTGAGAAACCGCGATTACGCGACCAACTGCCGGCGAAGGCGTACAGCGGTTAAAGAGAGCTTGCTGACAGAAAATCAGCGATTGCAAGATCAGCTACGGGCGGCAAATGAAGTCCTTTCCAGAGCAGTAAAAGAAAGAGACTCTTACAAAAGAAAATTTTCAGAACTACATAAGGCGTATGTCACCTTTAATAGACCTAATGTTGCAAGAAAATGGTAACTTTCATGCAATGGCATTCAGTATTGGACCGACATATTAATTTGAGTAGATTCGATCACCGGTCTCACAGCCACAGAAACAATAATAATACGTGTTACTGGAACTTTCCTTCAAAATTTTATCATGTGAAGTCGAATTAAGGTTAGTGTGCTCCAAATGTATACCAATTACACGAGCTATTTTGAGTAATATTCCGAAAGAATTTCATCATCAGTCATATTTCTGAGGCTTATAACGCCTGGTTATTTCAATTGGAAATTCCGTAAACTATAGCTTTAGAGACTCAGACACAACTCTCGTGTTTAGACATTATAGTTGCTTTTTGAATGGCTTTGTATTTCAGTCAGTGATAAAATTAACTTTACTTCAATTCACTTGATAAGCAAGAATAACAAGCTTATTCCATTTGAATATTTATTTTTAGACCTCTTTATAACGCGAAAAGTCTAATGTAATTCGAACAATTGCGTATACATATTGTTTGTTGTTCAGAAGGGGGAAAGTTCTACCTACCTACTACTAACAATGATATCTGTTATAAAATCCAAAACTTGCTGTGGAAATTTCGTTATAAGGTCGGTAAAGATTGATTCGTCAGTTAGAGAAAATGTCTCACTGAAAGATCATTTAATACTGTTGCTGACTGAAAAAAAGTCATTTTGTGTATTATATGATTGTGTCCGTAGGCGATATTTCTAGATAAACAGGAAGGAATAAATTTTTGAACCAAATGAATTTAGAGATATTCATGTAATTTGAAGAAACTATACTCTACTTCAATTTGATGTTGCATGCTGTTAACAAATTATGTACAAACCTGGTGTTAATAGCTTTAATAAAAAAAGTTTTTTAGGTAAATTTTGTATGCAATTGATGTCTTCAACACAACGGCTTTGATTTCAGCTTAACTCACCCTGCTTACTTTGGGTCAAAGCATTAGACAAAAGATTTTTAAAGTTTTCCTTGAGTTTACGTTTACTGATACTGCACAACTTCAAGGTGCATGATTTATCAAAGGGAAATTTCTTTGAACTAACAAATTTCAGGCAAGCCAGCAGCATGAACAGTTTGTGATGTCTCGACAAAAGTTACAGACTTAAGCAAACGTTTTCTTTGGTAACAATATGATACTGCTACTCTTTATACGCTTAGGCTAGTGACTTTTCTTCAATCAAACCAAGTGCAACCTAGAAATATTGTGACTTTACCGAGATGAACTGCTAATCAATTGTAAGTTAAAAACACTGCAGATTTTCATCCGGTTTTGTCGCGGCTGATAGGTCTTCAGCACCCATTTAGTACATGAAAAGAAGCATTGTGAGAGTAAAGTGTCTTCGCCAAGAACACAACAATAAAATTGAAACAACTCACAACTAGAACCCAGCGAGTTGATCATGGAACCATCGTGTCTCTCAAATCGTTTTTATCAATTTAGAACCATTCGTTCATAGGGAAACTTTTCAAGCATAATTACGATTCTCTAAAGCTCGTTGACTCTTAACGATAACAGGGACGTCCCCTCTACAAGAGATATTCAATTTCGTTTGGGTTTAAGAGACTAGAAAGTGTTAAACATGAGAACTTGAGACGCACATGAATTTCGATTCATTGAATAAAAAGAAAATTTGACTTCTTCGGTCGATAGTCGCTTAAATTGAAATGTTTTTCCGACAGTGGTCGAAATGGACGTCAAGATATCAAATCCTTTAGGAGAAAGTTTTAATGCTGGCAAAGAAAATTTTAAGTAGACCCAACTATAAAAAATCAACGAGAGGGGAAAAAACCAAAGATCACAATACTTCTTAAAATAGGCTTTCATAACATATCCACAAACACATGAGTGCTAGTTCGACTTTACAACAAAAAAGGATACGTTGTGAACATCTCTCAGTACCACATGAAGACCTCGAGGAACCAAGAATATGAACAAACCGCACAACAGTGTCACATCCATGTAGCAAATTGTGTAAAACGGAATATACTCCTTTTGTGTGATTATTTGTTTGATTGCTCGCAATGTTTTGTTTTGTTTTGCGATTTCCATGCCTACTAAGTTCAGTTCATCTCCGCCTTTGCATACGTTTATGCGGCTCTTTGCGTCAACAAATAGAATTTCATTATCCATGAATAGGTTCATTTCTAGACAGCAGTAAAAGAAGTAGAAGAAAAAGGAAGGATAGCCATTAAATCTGATTAATTTCCCAAATGAAAAAGAAAAGAAAAGAAACTTGGTTGGTTATAAGAGTCTCGTTAACCCTCATGTAAGACACGACTTGTAGATAGTTTGCGAGACTGATGTAATTTTTTCCATCACCTCGTTGCTGTGTATATACTCAGAAAGCTTCAAGAAAATTCTCAGAACAGGACCGCGCAAGGGAATTCCCCCCGAAATGAAAACGAAAGTTTTCCTGTTTCAGAAACTTAATAAGCTATTCAGCTGCGACATTGGGGGGAAAACCCTCAGAGACTTTCACTTAGTCATTGTGATTCGCTTCTGAAAAGGGAGAAATTGTTCATCGACGCTGCATTTGTCATATGATGGAGGAAGATTTTGATGCCCTGTTCGGTGTGTACTCCACCGATGCCATGAAACACGTTTTTGAAAACCTATGGACGGAAGAGAGTCTTCTATTTGAGGAAAACAATTCTACCTCCAACACAGATGGCGACATCCAAGATCTTTTCGACGGTGAAACAAGAAATGAAGAAAATTACTCATCTTCTGAATCTGAAACTGAGAGCTTGAATCCTTCGACGATAAGCGACGAACAAATTCAAAATCTCCGCGTGCAAGATCTCAACAAGCTTCTTCGGGACCTCCCGCGGGACGAGGCAGCAAAAATAAAGAAGCGAAGACGCAACTTGAAGAATCGAAACTATGCTTTGAATTGTCGCATTCGTAAACAGCAAAAATACGAAGATCTGCTAAACGAGAACTTCTCATTGAAAGAGCAACTGGAGAGTGAGAGAAGTCAGCTAAGAAATGTCTGGACAGAGAAAGAGGCGTTCAAGAAGAAATATCAGCATTTGCAGAAGTCTTTTGCTGTCTACATGCAAAGCAAGATATCTACCGAGCTGCCGGCATGATGCTAAGGGCTGACAGTCTGTGTCCATGAGCAATTCGCTATTCTATTTCATTATTAAGACTTAAATTATTCACCGAACAGTGATTGATAAACTGTAATCCAGCAGGCACCATTATTTAGCATGCGTATTAGCTATGTTTGAAATAATTCCAGAAAGTACCACTCTTACAATTAAATTAAGTACAATGCGGGGTACAAGGGCTTACCTTGAAATATTTCCAAAAATAGCTTAAATGAATCATGACTATCAATCAAGTGTAGAGATGTCTAAAAAGTGAAATTTGCAAACAGTAGTAACTCTTATAAAAGAAAAAATAATTGTGAAATATTTGCTTTTTGTTTCCCAAGGAGTGAGAAATAGTTGCTGTCAGAATGTACTGAAGATATGTATAAACATGTAGTTTACAAATGCTATCGGATATTTATCGAATTATTAATAAACAAAAACACCTGTAATAAAGAGAAATACAAAGGCATTTTTGTGTATGCATTCATATGTTATTGTCTTGATCACATCAAACATGGATCACTGTTTCATAATGCTTAAGTCACTCGCACTACCCACCCCTCCCCTGGAAATAGCACCAGTATGTTATGTAGACAGGTTGTCTTCCATTTCTAGTTTCATCGTGCTATTCAATATTTTATAGGCTTGTCTCTCTTTGTCATCTAAACTCCAGCGAAAGAAATCTTGACGAGATCATCGTCCTTTTTTTTTCTTCAACTGGGTACCACGAGGATTCCACCAGTCCTATTTTCAAGGCAGTAAGAAGTAGCAATAGATAGCACAGTTATAACAGGCGTAGACAGTGTAAGTCAATGAAAGGTAAGAATCAAATAATCTCGTAAACGATATCTCATGATTTTTTTTTTGTAATTGAAGAACAGTCATCGATTCAATATGTACATAAGAATCTGATATGTTGCTCGTGGCTTCATATTCTTTAGTTATTTCCATGAAATGATGAAAGTTCGTTTATAATGGTGATTGATCGAAGATAATTCAGTCACGGATGGCTGAGAGTTCAAAGGTTTTTCTAGGTAAAGTAACGCTACTTTGTTATTTGATACCGAAACGAACCTTGGAGGCTTACTTAGATATAAAGTCATAAACTGAGGTGAAATTAAATCTTTCAAGCAATACAGGCAACGGATTATAAAATTCCAGATCACGTCAAAACTTGATCCGGTCACATGCTCGAATGAATGAAACCACTTGTTCAAGTGACACCCATTAATTCGTGAATTTATTGTGACATTTTGACATTTTTCCATCAGCTCTAGAAAATTGAAGACTGAAAAATAGTGGATACGAGAAGGAGCCATGCGATGCACTGACTTTATTTCATTGGTGTTGTCCGTGTCGTATGTCACCTGTGGAGGTATTTGGTGTACGTTATAATGAAATTGTTACCTATTGTTACTCTGCCTTAGCAATTAGCAAGCCCCAAACTCCGATGTAAAAAAAAAAGTTGTTTGCGTCTTAGCACCATTTTGTCGATGATTTGTTGCAAGGGTTACAGCCTTGCCTACTCAGTCAGTTGACATGTTAACATATTATTCATCTTCTCTAGTGAGGCGAAATTAACGCTTGACTGCATATGAGATCTTTTAAACAAAGCGTTGACAAATGTCAATGATATTGAAGTGCGTGTGTCGCGCCTCCGCTTGATTTTTCAGTAAAAAAACGTGACGATGAAAGTGCTCTGAAGGTGGGTAGAATTAGATCTGCAGATTCGTTCCTTATCTCCGGACTGAACCCAAAATACCAGCTTTAAGTCCGTACAACGCATTAATTAAGTGTGTACTGAACTGAAGCCGAAAAATATGTTACTACATCGAACATTTTAACACTGAAATCAGCAAAATAGAAGGGCGGAGGGAGGTAGCTTGCGAGAAAAGTGTGATAGAAAACGAGGGAGACTAAATACATCGAAGAAAGGACCCTTGTCACTGTTGTTTAAAAAAAAACCTTGCCAATTTCTCTCGCTTGCTCATTCGCTCACCTCCAGTAACCAAGAGACTGATAAATTGATACCCTGGACTCCTTAAAAACAAACATTAAACTTGACTTAAAAATTTTGTCGTCTCTTACTGAATGCATTCCACTCAATTGTCTTAGGTTATGAATACGTAGGTTGCTATAAAGATTCGGACCCCAGAGATCTCCCACAAAGAGTTCACGGCCGTGAAGTGACAGTAAAATCGTGCGCCAAGAGCTGCAAGGACCTGTTTTATAGATTCGCTGGCCTTCAGTTTTCATATCTCTGCTTCTGTGGTAACAAGCGAGGGCGGTACGGTCTGCTGCCGGAGTGGAAGTGTTCGAGTGAATGTACCAATAAAGAAGACAAGCATTGTGGAGGATACTGGAGTAACTCCATTTACAAAACAGGTGTAGTTGATATCAGAGCTCGCCGATAATTTCTTTGAAAGGTTATAACAAAATTGGCTCTCGAGTCAATCGTCGCATTTTGCTATAATCACTCCGCGTAAGGGGGTTATGTCACTAAAGCATCAGAATTTGCATTCTCCACCGAAATTGCAACTGCTCTGATGATTGCCTGAGTTACTATACCAAGACAATTATCGCGGACTCAATGAACATCGTCGAATAATTCCCATTCCAATACGTCTACAACTTCTGTTTAATTTGACTTTAGGTTATGATCCACCGGCTGGTGTCAAGATAACTCCACTGCTAACAAAAGCCTTAGCTGATCTCAAACCGCATGTAAATGCTACCAACCACACGAAGGTGAGCATGACAAACATGATGATGAAGAATTTCAAGCGGGTAGGGTTGTTCAAGAAACAATTCATAAAAACAGAACGTGAAAGTAAATGTTTGGATTAGCTCCGCAGCTTTGCTATCATTTCACATTTCCCCTTTTTCATCTTTTGCTTTCTTGAAATTGTTCTACACACAAGCTTGATTTTGGAAATAATCATTGATTCGAGGAAACGAGAAAACAATATTGCGCAGGGCAAGATAAACTCAGAACCGTAATGAGGAAATTTTAACCCGAGAAAGTAAGGTCTCTTTTTTTTGTCTTGATTGAATGTAACCCTCAATTGAAAAATTGTGCTTAATTTTATGAACTACATGCAAAAGAACGAAAGCAGCGGCGAAACTAGTTCTGGCCCTTTTAATATAAAGAATAAAATATGAAAAAATGGGAGATCTCCCTGCAGTCTTAACGATGATATATGATCATTATATGGGTTTTCATCCTAATTTACAGGAACACAAGAAGGCTAAAAGTACCAACCACTGACTGAAAGAGAGAACGGAACTCTGGCATCCCAGGACATATCTCGCTGTTCTGTTTGTTTTCTTGGCTTGACTTCCTTGAATGTTTTAGATGTTGAATAAAACTGGTAGTGCTTTTTTCCTGAGCAAATCATTAAAACTGTGTAATGAAGAAAGTCGCCCGATCGTCCTTTTTCTCTTTTTCCCGTTTAATAACTGAAAGCCCACAACAGAGTACCTTTAAAACAAAGCAATCTACTTTCGTCCACACAAAGATTTTTGTTTTGGTCTCAGTCTTCCACAGAAAACGCATATTTTAAGATGTCTTCAGCTATCGTTGACAGTCACGCCCAAACAGATGATACAAACGACTGTCTTTTAAGTCTCCCTATAAACCTGTCCACGCTAAAAAAGCGAAGCTTTTTCAAGCCTATAGCTATACTGTAGGATGTTAAAAAATCTTAAATGAGAAGGATAACAACTGTATGAATTCAAAAGCGTATTTCTCCTCAAATTTAAATTTTTACTATTACTATTATTATTATTACTATTACCGTTAATATTATTTTATTTCTTTTTTTTGTCGAGAAAAAAACTGTAATCGCCTCGATTTTTTTATTAAAAGGGAAGTTTTAGAAAAGAGAAATTTCGATTGCTGCCAGCAGAAGGCTCACCTTCCAGGAGGAGTATCGGCAGCTGTACCAGCCCCTTAACCTGTACCTTTGTCTCAAGAGGCAAAGTTCTCCCATCAAATCTTTCGACCGGCAATGTGACCTTTTTTCTGCAGTGTTATAAATGATAGCGTTTGAAATTAAGCTTTATAATTAAGGGGAAAACGGATGTATGTGTTTAAGTTAGATAATATTTTCCAACTGAGTTCATTCTCAGGGCACCAAACAAGTACTCTTCTCTTTAACAGTAAAACTACCAGTTTCAATCTATTGTGTTATCCACGAGATGTAATGTCAATTCATCTCATTGTCAGTGATTAACTCTTGAACGTAAGGGAACATTTTGTCTTTCTCTAAATTATAACAAGAGGAATAAGCTTGCTTCTGAAATATTTACTACATCAATTGAAATTTGATATATTTTTCGCTTCCCTATTCATCTAGTTTTGAGAGAAGACCTCAATTTCAAGAAAAAGTTACCAGACATGATATTCGTCGTCACCCTTGGAAAGATTTTTAGTTTGACTTTCCCAAGAAATTACTATCTCCTGATTATAGGAATCATTTCTAGAAAGAAAAAACTCAAAACTACAAGCCTATATGAAGAAACAACGCTAACCTAACGAATTCTACACTATTAACTTAAAATATATTCCCGAATCATTAATTTCAGTCAGTGTAATAAAACGAAAAAAAAGACAGTCGATTAGCAAGAGTCAAGTTAGAGACATGTTAACGATCTTAAAAAGAAACTGTCATTTCAAATGTTTATTTTTTAGGGTATGATTTAACGGTTGATGTACCTTACAACCTAAGTGAAACCAACTCCTATGTATTCCTGACATGAGAAACAATTAAAGTGTTAACCTCAAATCAACCTTCAAACATATTTATTCAACCGTTACATCTAGTGAAATATGTCTTCCGCGTAAGATATGATTATTTTTGCCTATTTGAGTGGATTTTGACAACTAAATACAAAATGTCATCTTGGTGAAGACAAGAGAGCAATGGTATTTTATTTCTGAAATTCAAAGTCGAAATTTTTCCGCCATTGTCAGATTTTACGGTTGAGCACTTTTGTTTAGCGTAATATTTCTGAAACGGAAAATTGTAAAGAAAATTAACCTGAAAAAATATCAAATATATTTAGAGCTCCTTTTCATTTTTATGATATTGATATAATCTGTTAGGGCTGAGAGTTACAAGAGTGCATACAAAGATCACTGCAGTCAATCTGACTTTGGTATACAACTGAAAAACATAATATGCCAAGCAATGAATAGAAAAGATCACTTGTTCTCTCATAATTGTTTTTGTTTCCTTCTTTATAAATTTGGTCAGCAGGTAATTTCACATGGTCGTTAAGTCCTCCCTGGTCAGGCAAATCAATGTTTAATCACAGTCCTGCGTAAAAAAGGCCAGTTCGTTCTTCCGAGAGATCATTAATATTGAATTTCTTTTGTTACGAGAAAAATAATTTTGAGGGACGTGAAGCTCTCTTCCACCAACGATCAGGAGAAATATATAGCTGCTCTCAAATGACGTGATTCTAGCAAAAATAGCAAGAAAAGCGTTCTAAAAAACTGGATTTTATTGGGTCGAAACTTGTGCTTTAGGAACTTAGAGGTAAGGCAAATTCCAGTGTTTATGAATGTGTAGTCTGATAAGTCAGATCCAAAAATTGATCGGAGTTCGAAAAATGTTTACACGTCTCTAACTCCGCGTTCAGTCTTAAATCTTATAACTTAATTTCACTACTTACAATCAAAATTGATCATGATATGTGTTTCTGAGAGATCTCAAAGATTTAAACTTTAAACTTGTAAATGAAGCTGACGTTTGTCAACAATTTTCTGACTAAAAATTTACGAAAATTATAAATAACCAGTTCTCTAAAAGAAATACGGTTTCAGCCCATTGGGATAAAACTTGTATGATTGTCAAATGCTGAAATAGATCATTGCGGTAAACGAAAAATCAAAGTATTTGGAATTTGAATACAACAGCTAAGTTCAAATCAGTTGGATTGAGCTGCTTTTCTGGTTGTCAAACCACCTGCAGTAAGGTCCGCCATTTTGTATAAGATCGTACTGAGATTCCTCCACTAAACAACTTCTAAATAAATTTAGACAAATTTTCGTTTTTAAATCATCTCAAATACGCCTTTTTTAAATACAGCTTCATTCTCTTTTCTCGTGGATTTGAAGCTGAGAAGATTCTAACGCTCATTACTCGCTGAAATTTTAAGTTATGAGTTTCAAAATTATGACATTTCTAATTTGTGATAAGTTTTATTTCAATTGGTGACTTCTTACTAACCCAAAACTATGCTCATTGAATTACGTTTATTGGAATATGGAAAATACTTTGCTTAAGTAGGAAATCGAGCTTTTTAGTGATATCAGCTACTAAGGACAATTTAAGAGCAGAACCACGTAATAGCAGTATTTACTATGTTAGTCCTTTGAAGGTCTCTCGCGACGTTTACGAACTCAAAAAGTACTGTACTACCCAAAATTATGTGTTTCTTTTATTCTTACACCTCCAGTGACATAGGCGACATTTAAATCAATATCAGTTTTTTTTTTCGATCCTTAGAAGAGACGGAAGGCTTTTATTTTAAAACAGGTAGCACCAGGATAGCACAACCACTTGCTAGTGTTCTTTTGCATGTCATTAATTCGTAAAGAGTTGGGAGTCAGTTATTGTATGACGGCGTACAAATCGAAGTCTTGATACTGCTAAGCTGTTGAAATTGCTAGAATGTCATAGGAAAAGCTTTGACACTCTAATTCTGAGGTTGTCATCTTGGGGAGGAGATTTTTGTAAGGTTGGTATGTGATTTGTATTTGACCACAAGGAATCGTAGACAGTGGTGTTGCAAAAAATGCAACGGAACGAACCGCCTCAAGGTCTTTGTTATAAAGTCTCTTAGATAAATTAGCTGAAGAATATGTTTGCAACAGTGGCTACAAAAATGGAGAGTCCAGCTCAGTTACCATTTCTATTGCAAAGGTATTCAAACTAGGGAGAGACCTGCAAGTTTCGTAAAAAGACTTGTCAGCCTCGTAGTTAAGTCCACTGGGGTAGAAGCGATTGACGCTTCAATCGCCACCCGTGTGTAACGACAGCTTAATTGCAGTAATCAAGGACATAAGCTACTTGATCTGTGAGCTAGAAAATGTTTTTGTCTCTGTTTTACACCACCTTCATCGATTGATCTACGAAGGTGTTGCATAATGAAAAACATAGTTGGATTGGAATTCATTCTTCTGATTCTGAAATTACGAGAATGTAGTGAATAATTTTATTCAAATTAAGCTGAATGAAATCAAGCTTACCTAGAACAGTGTCGTCGCAGTTGTAGGAGGTGTTTTTTTTCGGAGAGCATGTTGGACTGGACATTGAGATATGTTAATTCCACGGCCGACTGCGTTTCGCTGGCTTGTTTGAAGCGCTTCATTTGACACCGTTCAAACATCAATGTGCTCCTTGTGGCGATGTCTCGATATGTGGAACGTTGTCTGGAATTCAGCCCTCTTCTCCCATCTGCAAAAATTTTGAAGTTCCATTTTAAAATTCCATTCGTATTTTAGACCCTTTTTAAAAGTCAAGAAGGAGCCACGCGTGTTTGATCGAAACGAAGTAGGGGAGGCTGGTTCTCCTCTTGGTAAAGCAAGAAAATCTTAAAACTCCATTTTGAAATTTGCAATTAAAGAAATAATTTAATTAATCACTCTCAGCCGCCTCGTTATTCCATTTCAATGTCTTAAACATCAGCCAAAAGTAATACAATCGAACTTAAATAATATGTCACTGAAGATTTTTCCGTTTTTTTTTAAAATTGCACCCTAGCTTGGCTGGCAAAACTGATCTGACCATTTACTCTCAACAGAGAAAAGAATTGCCACTGAAGGAGGAAAGAGGACCGAGTGAAGGATAATGAGCCCGGTTTTGGTGCTGTTTTTATTAACAGTGCTTCCGTGGAGGGCTGTAACAAAAGGTATGTGGTGCAATGAGAATATCGGCATTTTCAACCACCAGTTAGAAGTCCTAATTACATGAACAATAACCTCGGTTTTGCGTGGAAAATTTTAACGCACTTAGAGACAGAGAGACCCCGCAGAGCTTGAGGAAAACTAAAAGCCTCGAGGCACAGGTACTGTCAAAAGACACTAGCGATAAAGCATATTTACACGCCAAGTGAAAGCTATAGTGTTGATCAAGTCCAACTTTTTCAGAGAACGGTTGATTAGAACGGTCGATTTTCCATAGCTCTTTCTTTAGACTCTGTTAGCGACGACTGATCTCCCGCTGTTCAACTTGAAAACCATGTGATACCCCAGAAGATCCTCCACTACTTCAACACAGGCGATGAATAATGATTGCTCCCTTACTTGCAGCTCTACAAAAGATACATCCAATCGTATGACGCTTTTAAACCAATCAAATGCTAAAGAAATTATTTGATGGATGAAAACGCTTTTCTTTCTCTTCTTTCAGAATTACACCACCTAGGATGTTACAAAGATGGCGATCCGCGGGATCTCCCTCAAAGAGTTCACGCACGAGAACTAGACGCTAACACTTGCATAGAAAAGTGCAAAGAATTACAATTTAAATACGCTGGATTACAATTTTCATATCTTTGTTTTTGTGGAAACAGTTATGGAAGGTATGGAGAGCTTCCAGATGCCCTCTGTTCTAGCAAATGTAACAGCAAGAGGGATTCCTTTTGCGGTGGCCACTGGGCTAATTCCGTTTACGAAACAGGTAGGCATAAACCACACTGAAAGTGAGGCTTGTTCTCTTTTTATTTATCAGTGTAATAATTACCAATCAGGTTAAAAGTATACCTATGATCAGGCGTTTTCTTTGGTACAACGGCAGCGGGTGGCGCAGAAGAATCGAAGTTTGGGAAACTAATTATCCCCTTTGCAGCCCGCTTTCATGCAAATTATGAAGATGCCAAGTAGCAAGGAAACATAGAACACCATTCAGTTAATTTTCCTTTATGTTCTAGGGCACAACCCAGTTTCAAGAGAGGGACACGGTTCATCTCATAAACAAGTCAAACGAGATGAAGTAGTTTTGTTTGACAACGTTAAAGAGTACAATCGTAAGCCAGGTAAGATGGAAATATTTACAACAGATAGATTCCAAGTTTTCGTATGTTCAGTAACACGTCACAGATGACGTCAAAACGCAGTACGTATGATGGTAATGAGGGAGAATGTACAGCATCTGTGTTATTTATGGTCACGTCATCTGCGCGTCTGTCCTCTAATAAAACAAAGTAAGAGCTGATCAAAACGCGTGTATAATTTAGCTTATTGTGCAAAAGTTAGATTGTGTCATCGAATGCGCAGAGGTAAACAGCTAAGGTATTTTTTCTCATAATAAGATCTTGTTAATCGACTGATATTAAGTTTAAAAAAGAGGTTTGGCTGACGTTAATTTAAATGGAGTGACTGGAAGGAAATAATTTTTCTTCTGGGTTATTTCAGCAAATACTTGTCGCGAAAAGTTTTCAGATTTAAATTTTAGATCGGTTAATGTATCAAAAGAATCTTGATAATATATTTTGAACTTGTAGAGGATCGAACAGTCACTTTAGACGTGAATCCATCTGAGTATTCCTACATCCCGCATCCGGAAAAAGATTCAAGCATGAGGACTCAAAGATCAGCCTCATATGACACAAACTCTTATTACAATTACCCCGGCAATGATTATCGTTACGGGTCAAATTCCGACACTACGGGTACCAGCGGGACATCAAATGGACAAGAGCAACTAGCAACTGCTTATGGTCAAGAGGACTATTATAAAGCAAACGCCGATAGTAATTACTATTACAATAATTATAATGCAGCGCAGGACAGTGCTAACAACAATACAAACTCCAACAGCCCTGCCTACAATTCATACTACTCAGCGCAACAAGATAATTCGTCAGCAACCTTGTATAATAGCAACGATGTTTCCGCATCTAATTCAACTTCAAACCAAACAGAATATGCGGCACCAAATACAGCGTCTTCTTACACAGATGCTAATAATTCGACACAGGAGAATGCTTTTGTGAAGCAGGATGCATTGAGTCTGACAAACTCATCTGCCGCAACAGCTGACTATAATGTATCTCCTTACAATGGCACAGATAATTCGTCGAGTCCGTTGGCAAGTGACACACGATATTCAGATCAGCAGTCAGCAGGATATACATACTCAGAGCAGGCGCTGGCGCCAGCTCAGACACCTTCTCCAGCGCCGTCTCCGTATCCAGCGTATGCGCCGAGCCCAGCACCTTATCCAGCACCTTACTCTTACCCGGCGCCTTATCCATCACCATATCCGGCACCGGCCTATGCTCCATATCCTGCTCCCGCTCCTTATCCTTATCCGGCGTACGCACCATATTCTTATCCCTCCTCTTACCCAGCCCCTGCTCAAGCACCTTCTTCAGCCCCTGCAGAGGTGAAAAATGAAACAAGTAAGTAACCTTTAATTAGGGCAGAACTTCCTTTTGGAGATAGCTAAAGGCAGCACTTATCTATAGGCTCCAGGCCTTATAGGATTAAATCAACATGCACTGTGCATGTGATTGTAATCGAATTGACAAGCACGGGACGTCGGGAAAGAATGGTTTCGTAGGATTAGTTATATCTTAGAGCTCTCGGGATCTCCGTGCGCAGGAGTGATGGTGATCCAAGTACAATTTAGGAGAGATTGACCTCTTTCCTGTAGCTGGGACGCCTTTGCTTTTTTTCAACGGCTCTGGTCTTACCCGAGCTCGTATATCTACAAAAAACTGTTTTCTTTTACATTTTGTTTGGCTGTGGTTCAAGAGCACGAGAGCCGTCGAGCATTATCGGCACGTTGTTCTCCAATGAGAGTCTTTCAATAATCTGTCCGAATACTTATCCGATTTGAACTTTGCAGAGTCATCGTGTCAACTAGAAAGACAAATGGCTAAAACGATGGACGATGCATTTGTCCCTGAATGCAAAGAAGATGGCAGTTACGGCGATATGCAATGCTTTGAGCACGAAGGGTTTGCAAAACAATGTTGGTGCGTCACCAGCGATGGTCAGGAGATCAGAGGAAGCCGCATGTCAGATGGACAAACACCGGACTGTGCAAAGATTGTCGCAGCAGAAGAGAAGAAGGATGAAAAGGAGAAAGAGAATCATCATGACGAGCCAGTGACAACTAAGGAGGAAACACAAATGAATACAACGGAAAAGCTACCGGATCAAGGCGGGAAAACTTACGAGGTTGAAATACAGATGTTTAAAAATGACACAGGTAAAAGGCAGATAAATATGCGTAGGTACATCCTTAAGATGAAACTTAACACCCGCTCTTCATGAAATTAAGAGAAAGTTTCCTGGAACCCGGTTGGCCAATCTTCGTCTTTTCGATGCCGGGCTTATTAAAGCCCGGCATCATTAGTATTTATGAAACATAGATGATTATCCGGCATTCTGCTCGTTGTTTTCTTTTTTCTTACTTTTACTCTTAAAATTCATCCGCAGAAAAACCAAAAACGCAGTGTCAGAAAGAAAGAGAAATATCTCTTTCGCCATTCATTACGGACATCTTTGTACCTGTATGTGACGAGGACGGAAAGTTTGTTCCACTTCAGTGTTTCGAACACGACGTGTACGGTAAACAGTGTTGGTGTGTAGACTTATCAGGTCAAGAAATTCAGGGAACAAGAACGGACAACGGCACCAACCTGGAATGTGGTCAGTGTATAGAATATTTTATTTTCGTGTTTTGCTTATTTGTCTATAGTGTTTAATTAGTTGTTTGCAAGGCTTTAGCAACAGTACAATCCTCCCTTTATTTGACCTACATACAACTTTTTTTAAAACCTTGCGCGGAACTGAGCCAATTTTTCTCTGCCTCCAGCTCATGAAAAATGTTTTAAATGTCCCTTTGTTCCATGGACGACAGAGCTCACAAAGGAGGCTCACGAAATTACTGAGCCTAGGGAATGCAGAACGCTTATCATATATGAATCTAAAATAATCATGATCACGAGTCAAGCAACCCTTAGAGTAATTCTTCAGCCAGCACCAATGTATTCCTTTCCCTTTCCTACAGGTACAGTTCATGCAAACATCACAACCGTACCAAGCTGTAACCTAGGTCCCTATGGCTGCTGCCATGATAACGAAACATTTGCCAAAGGACCGGATATGGAGGGCTGTCCACCACAGCAAGACCAACACCTTACACCGTTAGCCTCTCCTGTATCACCACCGGTGCTAAGTCAATGCCAAAAGGATCAACAAAATGCGAAAAACAGTGGAGCAGTAGATATATTTGTCCCTGAATGCGAGCCATCGGGTCTATTCAAAGAAGTACAGTGTTATAGCTATCCTGCCAGTGGGAAGACTGACTGCTGGTGTGTGAATCAAAACACTGGCAGTGAGATTACTGGAACGAGGGTCACTGGGTTAACGCCAAACTGCAAAGGTACCTACTGGCTATATTTATCCTTCTTGCATTGTTTTCTCGGTTTTTTGCTTTTTAAACGACTTGGGCTGATTTAGCATCTCTATTGGATATAATATAAGTGTACAAATAAAGAGCCAACAGCCAGGTTCGTTGAAAAAGAAAATAAAGAAACAAAATTCAAAACTGAATAATATGGAACTGGCGAGCAAATGCTATTGTTACGCGAACCTAACAGTCAAAGGAAACGGCCACGTTTCGTTGGGAGCGATCGTAGTTGTCTTCTCTATTTCTAATCTGCAAAGTATTTCCAGAAAGTAATCTAGGTTTTTTTTAAAAGCCCGTAGATATGTCGTATGGCACATTGTCTTCCTAAGGTATGCATACTGATAGCCTCTTTTATGATTTGTCACTCCCTACAGCGAATGGTACAAGCACACCACCTCAGACAACCCAAACACCACCCTCTACGGCATCGTCTACTCCCACTACGGCAGCCACTCAGCCTCCAGCTCCAGCTGTATATCATGTATACTGTCAAGTAACTTTGTATGGATGTTGTCCCGACAACCAAACAGCAGCAGCGGGACCCAACCAGCACGGATGCCCGCCGCCACAACCACAACCGCAACCACAACCGCAACCACAACCGCAACCACAACCGCAACCACAACCGCAACCACAACCGCAACCACAACCACAACCACAACCGCAACCACAACCGCAACCACAACCGCAACCGCAACCGCAACCACAACCGCAACCGCAACCGCAACCGCAACCACGACCGCAGCCGCAGCCGCAACCAAAACCGCAACAAAAACCGAAACCTACGCCCCCACCTCCTACTTACCCTACAGGTATATCTAATTAAGAAATTGAATAAAGCAAAGTAAGTATCTACGGATTTTTATGTTAATTTTTCTTTAAAGTAACAAGACATTTTTCTCATCTCTATGACATTGTTCCCGGGTAAAACCACAGATTAAGTTTTTTCAGCGTCAATTGGCTTTCATGGTATAGTGACGCCATTGCTCAGTGCATCTCCTATCCTTCCAATGGACCAATTAGAAGATCATAATATCTGAAGATGAAGAAACTTTGAATTTGTTTTCAGTTGATACACTAGTTTGATTCGTGTTGCTCCTATTAGGTTTTGCCAAAGACGTGTGTGGATCTTTGCTGTTGGGTCAAGTTTGGTATGAACAACTAACAGATAAAAGTAACGCGATGGCTTACCTACGCCAACTTAGCAAAGAGATCTCACAAGGGGTAAGTGATACGATGGACTGAATAATCTTGGGTTGTTGACCGGGCGTGAGGTCAGCTGATTAGTTTCCAGTGCTTTGACAGCCAAAGTTGATTATCACATGATATGTTTGTGTGCTCGTAAGGATTACTGTAACGAATACCTGGACAGGGCAGGTAATTAATATCTTGAAAACGCAAAATAGAGTCACCTAGCTCGCTCTGGTAGCTGCAGTTGATAACAAAATACAATTCGTTTTATCTTCGTTTTCCCGCAGAGTTCTATAATAACGAGTAAAGGGGTAAGTTTCTAAAGAAACTGTGGTGCTGCGTCGGTGTGAGAGTATAACAGGGTAATTAATCGCTATCAACTGAGTTGATGACGTAAATTGGCCACCGTAAAGAGTTTAAAGGCTGATTTTTCGAGCGTTCGCCCTTCGTCGGACCTCTGACGATTCGAGGGGATTACGCTCGAAACGCCAGCCTTAAAACTCTTTACGGTGGCCAATTAACGTTATCAACTCAGTTGATAACATTAAATTACCATTCTATAGTAACGGTCGAACAGAATTGATTGTGGATGGAACTGACTTGCGAGGCAAAACAGGGGGATGAACTGAAAATAAAAAAATAAATGCATAACTGAGAGATTATTAAATAGAAATGGTGCACTGCTTATATGCCGACTCATTTTCAGATTGTTGGAGTTTACAAGGGAGTTCACCCGGCCTTTAAATCTGCACGACTTACTGCAGTAAGGTATGAAATATTTTAACAGTACCTCATAATCATGACCAACTTAACAACAAGACTACCCATCCGTGAAAGTAAGTAATAGAGAGAAGTATGAGTTTATTCTGATGATCACGCGGGAGTTTTAGATGTTATTCGCGACCTTCAAGACGTTCAGGAAGGCAACAATCGTATTTCTCTGAATTTAGCATATCTAACAGTTTAAAGTTTGCTTGTGTTTTCACTCGTTTTTCAGGAAAACGAAGAATCCTTATATGAAAAACGGACCGTACATCATCAATCTCTTCTTCGTAATATCTTTCACAAAGGCTGTTGCGGATCCACTTGCAACGCTAAGAGATCATCTTGTCTCCAAAAAAGTACTAAACAAGCATCAGTGCATTCCTCAGTCATTGCATTTGATAGGTAAGCAGTTGAGACAATTGCCATCTTACCTTGCCATTGCTACCCAAGGTGGTCTTCTTTGTCTTTTGAAGTTTTTTTCTGAGTTTAAAATAGGTTTACAGTCAATCACGGTTTTTCCCCCCTCTCTTTCAGGTCCTTTTCATCCAAAGACTAAATGTCCACCGAAGGGTTACCAACCTCTTCCAGGCCCCAAACCTGTGCACCCTCCGGCAAAGCCACCAGTCCTACAACCTTCTCCTAAACCCCCAGTTGTCAAGCCACCTCCTCCAAAGCCTTCCCCTGCACCTCAGCCGGTGAAACCTCCCGTGGTACCTCATCCAACCAAGCCAAATCCTCAGGTTGGTCTGCCTGTGGCTGCCTTACTAGCTCTTCATTTACCTTTCGATCGACATTCGGGGATAGATGTTCTTGACACCTCCAGTAAGGCAAACAATGGTAAAATAAATAACGTGGACATAACAAATCTGCCACAAGGTTGTGGCCTGGTGGGATTATTCTCTCACGGTAACGTGTCCTTCAACGGAAGAAAGTTCTTTCCAAAGCCCAGTGTTGCAGTTACAATTGCAATGTGGGTGAAGTTGACTTCAACAGCAGGGAGGCAATCACTTTTTGACACTATTGCAACTGGAGCCAAACAAGGAAACTACCACTTTGAAGTAGTTGACGGAAAAGTGCGGTGGTTTGCTCGTGATATAAATGGAAAAGATGTGTTTAATGTAAATACTGCACAAGTAGTGGTTCCTCCAAATCAATGGACTCATCTCGTTGGCACTTATGACAAACAGGAAGGTAAGTGTTAGTTTTGATTAAACTTAGGGCAATTTTCAAAATCTTTATTTTGCCTCTACTCAAGAACATTACGCGCAAGCGCGTAAACATGGGACAAGTGACATAGATTGAGAAAATAGATCGATGAAAATGACATGAAAATGTACCTCTAGCTTTATTTATGCTTGATTTTAAATCAAGTTTAATCGCAAACATGGAACCACAAGATATTTAACGTTACAGTAACTCAAAAAGGGATAATTTTTAATGAACTAGGTTGTTCGCTGTAGACGTATCTGAGAGTAAATTTTGTGTAACGAACCTCTGTGAGTTTTCTAAAATATCACAATACTTATGAGACACTTGATTTTTTTCCTTTATTATTAACAGGAGTTGCACGGGTATATGTAAATACACAGCCGGCAGCCAGCGCTAACGGTGCGGGTTATCTGGCGCAGGACTGGGGCGAGAGAGCGGGAATAGGAAGTCACAAAGGTGATAGATTCATTGTTGGAGCTGTGGATGAAGTGTACATCTACACGTCTGCATTGACACAGACTCAAATAAGACACCTGGCTTGTGTATGTGAAGACAGCAAAGGTATTTCTAAGTTTCCGTAATATTTTTCTCTGACAGGGAGCTTTAGTCTCCTCAACAAAAAATAAAAAAACTGATCAAATATATATATCTACATCTATCTATCTGTATATATATATAAAGTGTAAAATTTTGACTTTCGTAAAACAGTGCTCAATACATAGGAGTAGAGCGATGTATATATTGTGGGAGGAAAAAGACAAATAAACTACAAGTTCATCCCTATAAGCCTTTTTCGTTGTTGTAGGGATATATATACACGCATAACAAACAAGCTAAATAATAAACTATGCGGGTTTCCCGCCACGAGTCTGCCTGTCCTTACTGGCCTGCGGTTTTTTGAGATAATAGTGAAACAAAAATGGCGGTCGCCGAGAAAATCTTTGGAGACAGTTTGAGGGTAAAATCGAGGAAAAATTAGACTTGTGTTACTGAATGGCAAGAATTCAACATGATTCCACGCTTCTTTATGTATGCTACCTATTGATGAAAGAAAACAATGGCGAAAACAATAGATTACCTTTGAGACTACGGCTTTGTTTTGAGACAGTAGGGGGTACATGGACATCTTACGACTGAATTAAGATCTGTTACCTTTGTGTTTTTGTCTTAAGGTGTGCACATTCCAAAGCCAGGATCATGGCCAGCCTGTATGCGAGGGAATAATGGGACAATAGCAACTAGCAAACCAATTCTACCTCCTCTGCCACCGTGTGTACCTTGTGTTATTCCTCCAAACTGTCCAATCCCGCAGCCATGTCCAGCACAGTGTCCGGCGCCCTGCCCTCCTAAACCACCTACCACTGCTTCGACAACAACAAAAACAACACCAACCACCCCTTCCTCACCAAAAATAGTAACGTCTCCCCGTGGTACATCAAAGCCTCCAACTACAAGGAAGCCAGGACCTGTGCTCCCTTTGACCACCACACCCAAACCGAAAGTGATCATAACAGCAAAACCAGTCACCACCCCAAAACCTCCTCCTGTTTTTACAAGTAAGTTGCTGGTGGAAGCTGAATGCGCCATTTTCTTATCGATAACTGAAAATACATTTTATTTTTTTGTTTACTGCAAGTTATTTAGTTTAGAAGAAAAATGATGAAATATATTTTTTCTTTGAGGAACTATAGCCCTCATCCTCCCCTCTGTATATTGATGTTTCTTCCTGAAGTCCAACGTGGACAGGGGAAATGTCTCAAAAGCTGTAACAATGATACCATTGTGGTCAAAATTTCTTTTCAAAGGACTGAGTTTAGGGTTGATTATGATTCAAATGGCCAGCAAAAATGAACTTCCTGTAATATCCTTAGCTAACATTTATTGGCAGGAGTTCTTAAAGGACTTAAGACAAATTTATCTCATTATGAATTTGAAAAAGGTCATGTGTGATACATTCTTACTCTACTGTTCTATCTTATGTTTTTTTCTTCTAGCTCCAAAGACTCCTGGTAGGTGTTTCTTCCTATTATTTCTTATTTTTGCAAGGAAATTTTTTTGATAAATTTTTTTTTGTTGGGATTGCAGTGATATCTTTCCAGGATTTATCACTAAATAGTAATTTCTGAGTGAAATAAATCACAAATTGTTGATACTTGATTATTTTTCCTTATTGTTGTTCCAGAGCTTTTTCTTTTAAATTGAAAACCAGTTCACATGGTTCTTATACTTTTTTATTGGTATGCATAGGACTGAAAGATGCAAACTATTTTTTTTTGTATTTGTTTCCCTTTTTTTCAGTCAGATATTGGTTAGAAATGTACACAAATATTGTCTCTGATTAATAACAAAACTTTCTTTGGAGCCTATAAATGGTTAATTAATGTGAACTGATAAACTTGTATTTTTTTATGGTGGGCTAAACAATCATGTCCAATTCTTTTCCATTCTCTATGGATATAATCCAAATCATGTTCTTTCTCTTTGTAGTAAATGGTAACTATACTTCCTGGAGTATATGGAAAGAGTGTTCTGCCACTTGTGGTGGTGGTATTCAGGAGAGATCACGAACATGTACAAACCCAAAACCTCAGAATGGTGGACAGGACTGTGCTGCTTTAGGACCAGCAGCAGAAACTCGCAGCTGTAACTCACAACCTTGCCCAAGTAAGAACCTTGAATTCACTTTTGGATTTGAAACAACATCAAATGGTACATTTAAAAACCTTAATCCTGTAGCCAGAAATGAATGCAATGAAGTTTTTTCCTTTAATTTGTTTTTCTTGAATGAACATTTGAGGTGAATTTCCTCCTAAAATAATGTACAAGCCTGTTAAAAGGAAATGGGCAAATAATGTCTGGTTTTTGCAATCATGATACTACTTTTAATATTTAACAACAAATGAAAAGGCCAGTTCAATTTTCATTGCCTCCTTGGCTCTTTGAAAGGTCTCTTTGAAATGCAAGAACAGTATTTAATGGTAATTTAACTTTCATGAAAACAAATCCCAAATTTTTTTTCTTTGCAGAAACATTCAATTGCTAATTTTATTTTTACCTCTTCTTAGTTGATGGTGGCTTCAATAACTGGGGGGTCTTCAGCCCTTGCAGTACAACTTGTGGGGGTGGAGTCCAGACTAGGACCAGGTTATGTAACAACCCTACACCACAGTACAATGGCCAAGACTGCATAGGGCCAGCCAATGAAACAAGGGCCTGCAATACATTTTACTGTCCAAGTAAGTTTGGCACTGAGATATAAGATGAGTGTTATGATTAGGTGGTGAGTCAAAGTGGCTGTATGGATATTGGCCAAGTCATATGTTACCTTCCAGGGTGGATGAAGGCATTACTAGTCACAGTAAAGTGCCTTGTCCAAATTCAGAGTTTGATAGGCTAGCTAAGAAGGTCTCCTACCAGGATCTCCTGACCTGAAGTCACGGGGAGCTACCAGTCAGGCCATGGCAGCTCCTGCATCTTTGCAAACAAAGTATATTTTTCCTTAAGAATATCACTTGTGGGGAAAAAGCAAGAAATCCTGACCTGTCAGGATAGACCAAATTTGAAATCATAAATCAGCTTCTGGTCTAGTTACAGATAAAAAATGAATTTCTCCATAATTGTGATTTGTTGATGGCATTTCAGTTGATGGTAATTACAGTGAATGGTCAGAATTCATGCAGTGCAGTGTAACATGCGGTAAAGGAGTGCAGACTCGTTCCAGAAGCTGTACTAATCCACCTCCTTTACATGGAGGAAAGAACTGCTCTGCATTTGGTCCTGCAGTGGAATCTAAAGAGTGCAACTCTAAACCATGTCCAAGTAGGAAATCATTTTTATCTGTATAATATTATATGGCTTCATGTAGCTTTGAAGATTGAGTTATTCAGAATCATAATTTAGCTATTCGAGTGATTTCCCTCAATAGCAGGACTAATTTATTGTATGTGGAGGAAATTGAATGCCAGAACAGGGCTGTGCTAATCAGCCTAAAGCCCACAGTTGCATTGTTGTAGGCAAATAACCACTGTCTTTTAATTAGTAAATGTCTACATTTATCACTCAGCTTTTAAAAAAAATGTTTTAGATCAGATTTCTGAGGCACTCAGTCACTCAGTGATTCTCCTTAGAGCACAGTTTTGCAAAACCTTATCAAACTTTGAAACTTAAGCAAAAACATTGTGTTTTTTAAGTTCCCCAGGACACAATAATGTGTGATCCTTTTAGCTTTGATTGTCACTGGTTTGTTTATTTGTAATCAACATGTATTTTAGGTTGCAGCAGGTACGTGATACATGAATGACTCAACCGCAGTATTCCTTACACCTTGTGTTATGATTAATTTTTCTTCCTAATGATTTTAAAATCTCCTTTTTCAGTTGATGGGGGTTACTCTCCATTTACAAATTGGTCTGACTGTACAGAGACCTGTGGTGGAGGAGAACAGACACGGACTCGCACTTGCACTAATCCTGAACCACAGCTGGGTGGTAAAGACTGCTCTAGTTTTGGACCAGACTTTGAAAAAAGAAAATGTAACACACAGAAATGCCCAGGTAACTTTGTCACTCATGAGTTAAACTTGTACACCCTTGTATAACTATTTTTTGTGATAATTAAAAAAATGAATATTTTATGAT